CAAGACCCAAACGCCGGCTCCAATCTAAGTACACATCTATTTTTCAGATGAGAGGGGAAAAAAAATACCCTCTCCATTACCCATTGCTTTGAGTTAAAAGCAGCCACCCCCAGGAGCTGCTGCACTGCCCAGCCGCTTCCAGGCTGATTTCATTACTGCACAACATTATAATTCATGCTACTAATAATCCGCTGGAACTCCATCAACCCCCTGAATCCAGCTTTCCACTTGCCTCCTGCAAAATCCTCCCTGGTTACAACAGCTTAAGAAACACCATCCATACTCTTCGTTTCATACGGGTATTTTTTTCTATGTAGCTATATTAAGCACAGGTTTAACACTGAAGACCTGAATTCAGAAGCCAGTATTGGGTTACTCAGATTTGGCCAAACAAGCAACCTTTAAACGACCAGAGAGCACATTCTGAGGGCTGTAACACAGCACAGCCAGTTCAGTGCCATGTGCTCCGCAATTTCTGATTGTCACTCAGAGGCCTGTTCCCTATCCCCCGCATTGTTATACAAACAAGACAAGATATTGCAGTTAAAACACTGTATTTAGCCCAAGATATCAGTAAGACTTACAAATAATAGCTTTAATCCTATTAAAGCTGGAGGACGTTAATAGCATTTCTTTAGTAACACTTAAACAATTGTCTCCTCGCTGATGTGTGCAGCCAGGAGCCAGATTCGCTTTGCACATACATGTACCTTCATGCTATTGTTCCATTCACACCCAAACAGCACCGCTCACCTTGTGAACCTTGACCTTTGAAAGGTATTTTAGCCAATGCTCAGTGACTGCCACAGACGCATTACCTCTGCAAATATGAAAGGGTTAAAGGCAGCCCCAATCAATAGGCCTACAAGGGAAAGAAAGAGACAAAAAGGAAAGCGAGTATGCCTTACAGCCCCTCTGCAATGCCTTCTGCACAATTCCACAACAACACGGTTTCCTTCTGGCCTTACAGAAAGGCACAGCACCCCCCACCCCCCCCCTCCTAAGGTCCCCTAAAGCAGCAAAGCACAAGACAGCACCCTGTAAAGAAAAGAGCATGCAAACAGCATTCTTCAGTCACAAACATCGCTACAATTACAAGTCATTCAAGCAGGTTTATTCAGTTCAGCTTTAAAATAAGATGCATAACCAGTGTCCCACCCTTGCAAAGCACAAGTATTTTAATAAGGGTCATAAATCTCAGCTCTTGCCCATTCCTTAAGCATAAAAAGGCACGAAAAGCCAAAGTCATCTCAGTTACTGCAAATATGTACATTTACATACAGAACCCTTTATGCCTCTATTAGCCACATACCAGTGCTGTGTGTCTAAAGTGTGCATTCACATACTGGTTTGGGATGGTATCTTTCTGCAAGCTCCTCTGCTTTTGGCTGCCATGAAGGGAGGAAGCTATCCCACTGTAGTAGCTCAGTGACTGCATTGTGTTCAGGAGCTGATCTGCCTCAAACCAGTTCCAGCCGGTTCTGGTCACCCTACATAAAAAGCTATGGCAACCCTCGCGGAGTTGCCAGCAAGTCCCTGGAATGGCGGGGCTCTTCCTGCTGGGGCGGCGGGGCCGCGCTGGCCCCTCTCGCCCTGCGCCCCACACGCGGCCCCTGCGCCCCACGGCCGCCCCACACGCTCCCTTCCTCTCCTCCCCACTTACCTCCCACAACCCGGCTCAAAGCTGAGCGTGTGTGCGTGCCTGTCTGTAGCTAACAAAGAGACCGCAGCCAAACCCCGCACGGGAGCTCTCTGCAGCGCCAGGCAGGGCTCGGCCACAGCCCCGCCAGCCCCGCTCGGCTCCCGCGGCACCGCTGCCCCGTGCCCGCGGGGTGGCCGCACACGCTCCCCTCCCGCCCGCCCGCCCCGCTCCTCGGGGGCCGCTCGAATGGCATTTTGTGTGCTGTGCACAGCGCTGCTGCTGCTGCTGCTGCTGCACGGGGAGCCCACACACGCGCCTCCCTCCCCGCAAGAAACCCATTTCCGCAGCAGCAAGATGCCCGCAGGAGCCCCGCTGCCCCCTCCTCGCAGCGCCGCGCTGGCTGCTGAGCTCAGGGGCTTTCTCTTCCCTGCTGGGCGGCCGGCCCCGGGGAGCAGCAGAGGCTGCGGAGCCCTCGCCCGGCCGGGGCCCCCTGCCCAGCCCGGCTGCGGGAGGCCGGGGCTGAGCTCTGCAGCCTGCGCCGCTCCCGCCCCGCAAGATGGCTGCGGCCCTGCTCCGGCTGCCCGCTCCCATCCGCCCCGGGGCAGCTCCGCAGCAGGGCCGCGGCTGCCTGCGGTGCCCGGGTCCCTCCGGAGCAGGGCTCTGCGCCCACCTCTGCCCGTGGCAGCCCTGCTCCGAGCCCACTCCCCACTTCTCCTCTGCCTCCCAGGGCCTTCCTCCTGCAGGCCCGCAGTCACCCCAGCCCCGGCCCTTGTGCTCCCCGCTGCTGCTCGGCTACTCACCCCGGCACTGGTACCACCAGTGACCACCTCCTCCTACGCGCCAGGCCCCATCCTCCCGGGATGTGCCGCGGTGGCTCCTCGGCACGGCTCCCTCGCAGCCAGCGGCCACGCCAGGCGACACCAGCAGCCCCTCTGCTCTGCGGGCTGCACCTGTAACTGTTAGCAGAGGTCTCGGGCACAACCCTTCACCCCCCCTTCCCCTGCGGAGAGAGCTCGGCTCTGGCACTTTCTCCACATCCCTCATCCCCACCCCATTCTGGGGAAAACGACCATGTTCTTCCGCTGCCTCAGCCCTGTCTTCCCCGCACCGCGGCTGCAGCCGGCCCTCCCTCAGCCCCGCAGCCCGGGTGGGCTGCTCCCTCCTCTGCGGCCCAACGTGGCCCCGGGCACCTCGCTGCCGGACCGCGGCCCCCTCCCCTTAGCGCGACGGCGGCGGCCGCACAGTCCCCCCCCCCCGTCCCCGTCCCCCTGCGCCGGGCCCGCTTTGCTCCCCGGCCCGGGGTCGGCCCTACCCGAGCGGGCGCTGCCGAGCCCGGCCCGGCCCGGCGGAGCGGACCCGCCACGCGCGGGGGATGCCCTGGGAGGGGAGGCCGCGGCCCCTCCGGCGGCGGGGGAAGGGGAGAGCAGGAGGCCACGGCCGAGCGATCCCCGCCGAGGCCGCTGGCCCCGGCAGCCCCGGCGCTCGGGTGGCCGCGGGGCTCCGGCGGCCGCCGCCCTCGCAGCGCCCCGGCCCCGGCCCCGGCCCCGGCCCCGCGCCGAGCAGGCCCGGCAGGCCGCTGCCCAGAGCGTGTCGGCGGCGCGGGGCCTGCGCGCCGGCGGGGCGGGAGCCGGAGCACGGGGACCCCCCCGCATGCAAGCTCGACCCCATGCAAACCAACACACCTGCTGCGGGCACGGCGCCTCGGGCGGGCACGGCTACGGCCCGCGGCGCGGCCTGGCTAAGAGCCGGTGAACATAACGGCAGAGGCTGTGCCGGGCTGAGGAGCCGTGCGGGTGGGGGTGCCTCGGCTGCACAGATGGGGGAGACGCTCCCGTGTGAAACGGCTCCCTGGAGCGTGCCGGGGGCGGGGAGGCTGCGCTGCCGCCCAGCACCGGCGGCCACCCGCGGCCCGGCCGGGCGGGTCGCGGCCTCCCGCAGCCCGGGGGGGGAATCCCCGCTCCGAGCCCAGGCGGCCGCGGGAGCTCGCCCCGGCAGGGAGCAAGTGGCGCCGGCGGCGCTGGAGCACGGCCCGCGGGCCCGGCCGGGGCCTTCACCGCGGCCCTGCGCGGGATGAGCAAGGCCCTGCCCGGCCCTGAGCCGCGGGGCCCGGCGGTGTCAGCCCGGTCCCGCTTTGCCGGAGCGCCCCGGGCCTCCCGCGGCGCCGCCGGGCCCCGGTGCAAAGGGCAGGAAAGGAGGCAGCGCCCGCGTTCCACCCCCGGCGCGGCTCCGGGCCCGCTGCGGGGCTGACAGCGCGGTGCGGGGCCGGGTGTCCGTCACCGGCTCCACCACGGCCTCAGGGCCGGGCGCCGTGCCGGGTGCTGCCAAACCAGAGCCTGGGAGCCGAGCCTGGCCGACCTGGGGGGGGGGGGAGCGCGGTGGCTTTGGCAGCTGCACCGCCAGGAGGGTCTGTTTGCCGTGAAGCAGCCTGGCGTTGATGCCAGCGTTACACGTTCCCATAGGAAATATCTCCCTTTCTGCCACAGAATATGTCACAAGCAAGCTGCAGGATGTAAAGTTCTGTGTGTGAATCACTGTATTGGGTAGCATGAAAGAAAGGCTTTAAATACACAGCACCCGTTTCAGGTTTATCCTATCAGCCTGGGTTTTACAGACAACGTGGTCAATAAGTACAGAGACTACAGATTCTGGTTGAAATAATGCTGGTCTATGACCAACTCTTCCAAGGCCGGAGGCCACGCAGTGAAGTCCCAAAGGCCAGCACAGACCCCTGTGGGAGGATGCTGCAGCAGGACCTGACCTCACAGCCATGGGTGGGGAAGGCTCCTGCTGCTTGCAATGGGACTTCCCCATGTACACATCCCAGCTTGCTCTGACCATCAAACCAACAGCAAACTGCTCCGTTGCCAGCCTGGCAGTGAGTGAGCCTGGCAAGTTTGAACAGAATACATTGATTTGGTTATTTATTTATATAATAAACGGATTCGTGTTGTGTACTAATTTTAATGTTACAGAAGGGCCATGAAACTCATCCTGCGCAAGCCTGGGGCTCATCCTGCAAGTGCCATGTAGAATTAGGCCATTGTGTCTAACAGTTCTTCCCAGTTAACTAATAACCAGTTTGACGAAGGAAGGCGAGATGTGGAGCCTGCTCCTTAGTGTCTGCGGCTGGTTTGCACGATCGTGTAAAGGTGATGGCAGCTGCTGCTGCTGCTGCTCTGGCATTGGGATCTGAAATGTTAACTGCTTTCACAGGTGATCCATGGCAGGAAGGCCCTGTGCAGACAGCCTGAGGTTCCAGGCAGGTGGCCTTGACATCCCCATGGCAGGAAGTCTCTCACCCCAGGATGTGACTTTCAGAAGGTAAGCATCATTTCCAAGTGGAGCCGGGCTGACAGCGCACACAAAGGAGCACACAAGGGCCACGTGGCTCTTCTGCTTGGTGAGGCTTCAGCAGGCTCTTACATGTTGACCCTACCTCTTGCTAGTGAAGTCATCTCCAGAGCGTTGTGAGTGCAGGTACAGCTGTCTCAGTGGGGGCTGTGGGTGGGTTTAGGTTACTCAGGCGTTGCCAGAGGTGGGAACTGGAGTCCCTCCCTTTATCCCATCTCAGCATTCCACCTTCACGTTTCCTGTACCACCATACACACAAGAGCAGAGCAAAGCCTGTTTCTTCTTGTAGAATACTTTAACTGTTTAGAATGCAATGGGCCTTTAACCACTGTACTGAAACAGTCAGTGTTAAAAACCCATCTTACAACGTGACCTCCCCTTTGCAGAGGCTTCTATTACTGATAGTTTCTTGGCAAAACACCCCCAGTTTCCTCTCCTGGTTATTAAAATATGCTTCCCATTGTGTTTTGGATTAAAAGCTCCAGGATTGCTTTTAGAAAGAGGAGAGGTATTAAAAGAAAGGGATCTTATATGAGATAAGGACCTTGGCAGGGAGAAATCTGCAGCCAGGCTCTAAATACACCTTCACTACTATTGAGTCAAGGGAAATCTGGGATGATTTTGACTGGGAAATGTCATTTAGAAAGAAAGAGATGAGACACAGCAACCTGCAGCCACATCTGTGGACTCCTATGTACCTGTGCAGCCCGTTAAGACATCTCGTGGCCCAGCAGCACATTAAGACCTGAGCTTGTCACACAATGTGCTTCTGCAGGTGCTGGATGTGGCCATCTGGGAGGCTCCAGAGCTCTGATCCATGGCCAAGGGGTTAAAACTCACTGAATCCTCACTCCAAATGCCTGGCGCTAATCTGCCATTTGCCAAACTCCTCTTTGGGGGTGCGTTAAACCCCGTCTCATGCCTGCACGTGGCACTGGTCTGCACCGGGGCTGCCACAACAGCTCAGAAAGAGCCTGGAATTACCAGTAATGGGTGATAGGAACATGTGCAGCCCGTGTATTCTAACCCCTAAGCCTTCAAGTGTCAGCTCTGGTCTGATGAGAGAGGTCTTACTATGTAATAAGTATGATTTACAAGCTGGTGTTTAGCGTGGTGGGCAGTGAAACAGCTTCCTTGGCCTCTTCTCCCTGTTGTAACCAGCTTTGAAGACCATGTGTCTGTCAGAGAAACAGGAGGAAGAGGAGGACAGGAAGAGAGCATAATGCCCCAAAAGCATGAAGAGTGACAAACCTCCTGTCAGGATGTGAGCCCTCCACCTGCACCAGCAGCGAGTTCCACACAGGGCCACGTGCAGGCTGCGGGATGAGGGCTCTCCTGTGAGCACTGTGGTGTTCTCTGCTTGCTCCCAAGTGTGGGCCATCAGCTTCCTCTGCACGAACCAGCCACCTGCGTGATTAACATCCAGTGGAACGGAGCTCATCAGCCTGGGACATTGAAGGATGCCTGCTTTGTTCCCTGCCGTGCGCGTGTGCTCGGGCTCCTTCCCTTCCTTCTCCTGATATTTATTCAAGTACAGGAGCATTATCTGTGAATTATTCATCAGACAGTATCTGATGAGGCCCGGGCTGCGCTGGCTCCCACTGCTTAATGAATGAGCCATTAGCCTGTTGCAGATGGTGCTGTCAACAGCTACTCGGATGCTGGGTGCTCACCTGCACTTACACTGGGAGCAGAAGGGCAGAGCCGAGGCTGGGAGATGGCTTTTCCTGTGATATCCATCAAGTCTCAAGGCACAGCCATTACTCCGGGTTTACTCCCTGCCAAGCGGCCTCCTTCTCTCAGGGCTGGAATCCTACAAACCAGGCAAGAAGAAGAGGAGTTACATTTGCAACACTGAGACTTCATTTCAGACAGACTCTGACACAGCCGCCTCACACCAGAAAACCTTTGTGCTGAGTAAATTCTGCCAGCTGCAGGAGCAGAGTCTGACCACGGGCCCCTGTTGCACCCTCACTCTTGGCCCATCTGCTCTTCCCGCTATGAGGGATACGTGGGCAAAGGGAACTGAGCTGCTCTGCCAGGCTGGTCGCTTGTGAGCCTCAGTCAGCAGCAGATATGGAGAGTTCTGCTGGAAGGGGCCCCTCCTGACAGTTATTCCCTGTGGGATGTGAGGTGCTTCCCTCCCCATAAAACCAGTGCAGATGGGGCTGAAAAGCATCCATCGCTGCTGTCACCCGTGACAATGGCGGCTCTCACCAACCTCCTGCAGTCCTGATTAGATTGTGCTCAACGCAGGCTGCTCGGGTTGATTACAGCCACATCCTGGGCATCACATTGTCCGTGGGGCTAATCCTCTGCTCCAGGCCTGGGTATCTCATCCCCTTGCCTCCAAGATACCTCTGCCTTGGAGATAGTGCTCCCACGCAACCGCTGCTCCCCCCAGCACGTGCCTGTGCCATGGGCTCCACATCTGCAGCTTCATTCCAGCCTGGACCTCGCTGTGCCACCGTCCCCACTGCCTCCTGCCCCACATCAGAGTGGCCGGGGGGGGGGGCAGATGTCAGCCAGGGCAGGCAGGAGGTGCTGCCACCCGTGGGGCAGCACAGAGACCTCCTCTGCACCCAGTTCTAGCGGAGCTGAGTTATCGAAACCACTCCTTACATCACAGAACAGCACAGCTGGAAACACATGGAAACCCCAGGGAAAGGAAATGAGCACCTCTCTGGAGAGGAGATGCTGGGGAGGAGGAGGAGGAGGAGAAGGATGATGGCGAGGAGGAGGCTGCCGCTGTGCAGAAGAACGTTGACACCTGGTGGTTGGCTCAGCCAACTGCTGGGGCGATGGCCAGTGGCCGCGGTGAGGGTCCAGCCTCCTGCCAAGGAGTCCTACAAAGCCTCCTCTAGGGCAGCCACGCCAGCTAAAGGATTCCAGATTCCAGAACAGGGTATGGCCAGGATTAGGCCATAATAAACAATTCCATGAGCCCAGTATGAAAGAAAGTGGCTTCAGATAAGGCAAGAATGTACATTTTGCACTGCATGATGCAAAGAACAGCCTGGGGAGCACAGCCAACCACTGCGCATCATCCCTCTACTCACCACATCCCTTATTGCTGCTTCTCAGAGCTGCCCAACAATAGGGTTTACACAAACCGACTCCAATGTGTGATACAGCAACATTCCAATTATACCTTTTGCACCTTATATATATCCCATAGTTTGAACATCTCCAGGCAGGCAGATGGAGTTTAACGGGAACTATTACATCAACAGATGCTCCTACCTAGTTAGCACGGCTCAGACAGGGCAGAAACTGAGGGAAGGCAGGAAAACATGTTTTCTGAGGGAGCCACCATCTGCCCATTTGAGAAGCTGCTGTCACCGATGACTCAGTAGCACTTGAATATGTGCAAATATCACTAATAGCATTCTCAAGACAGCTATTATTATATATTAACTTTATTATTATTATAGCTGTGGACCAGCACTGAGACTACAGCAATAAGAAAGTACTGTAATTAATGAGGCTAAAAGGGAAATCACTTTAGAGTTAGTTGAGAAAGGGCAGTTATTTCTCTTGGGAACCTTTAGATACAAACCTGGGGTTCATCCTTCTTTTCCATCATATTCTGTTAAGAAAGGGACGTGTTTGTGGCGGGACAGCACACAGAACTTACCAGGGTTTGTAAATGATTGCCGGCAGCAGAGGTGAAGAGTTAGAGCCAAAGGCAAACCTAAATCTATGTCCCAGGCAGTTACTACTCCATAAAGAACCAGGCACACTCCAACAGGAGAACCTGCATCTCCCCTGCCCTCACTGATCCCTATTGGGATCTCCTGCATGCCAAGTGCCAGGCCTGGAAGCATTCCCTTTGCAGTTCTGTTCCCATGCCATTCCATCCTCTCCCTCCCCTGCCTTTCACCCCCTTCCCCGCAGCACAGTCTCATCCCAAACCACACATCCAGCCCAGCTCAGGGATCTTCCCTGTAGAGAACAAGCAGGTTTGGGAAGAGCTGAGCTTCCTTGTGCCTGCTAAGGCTGAAAAAAATGGATCTGGCATTGCAGCTGGTGAAGGGAAGCCCCTCAGGGCCTGTGTCCTCCATCAGCAGCTGAGCGCTTGTGTTCACCCACTAGAGAGCGTGTGACTGCACAAAAGCAGCGCAGCATCCAGGCTCCTGAGGGATCCCGTTGTTCCAGAGACATGCAGCAGCATCCTTTGTATTCTATTATGTTCTATTTATTAACAGAGTTCTTCAGAAAGCATCCTTAGAGTTCGTGGCTCTAGCTGGTCCCAGGGGATTCAATCCATCTCTTTGGCTCATCAGCCGAAGCCCTTTACCACATAGCAGCATTTACAGTGAGGGAAGTATCAAGTACCTCTTTCTCGCTCAGGAATTGCCTGGGAGCTGCTGGGACTTGCTGAGCTCAGCCTAAGGCCTGGGCAGTTTCCAGAGAGGCAGGAACAGAGCCAAGGAGTAGGAGCTGGCACAGGTCGGAGTTCATCCCGTTTTGTGCCAGCTGGGTGTTGCTGCTGTTCCTGAAGGGAACAGAAACACAGTTTTCTCTCCCTGTTCTGCACTTCACACAGTACAAAATAGCTCCACGTGGGCTTCACTGACATTTCTGAACTTCTGTTGTCTCAGCTGAGCCCATGGAACAAGAAACACTCCCCCAAAGAGAAGAGCAAACAAAACAGTGCATAGAGTTCATTTGCTCCCATACATCCCATCAGAGGAAAGGGGGATTTAACACAAGGGGGCTGCTGTGTTCCAAGCAGGATTATGCTAGTGAAACAGAGGAGCAGGGATTAGCAGGGGGTCTCCCAGTGTAACGTGCTACAAGCCCTACCTCTGATTTATGTGCTGCAAAACCTTTAACCAGCAAATCATCCCTGTGATAAGTGTTAGGTGCAAAGCTGTGGCTGGGTACCTGGGCACCACGGAAGCTGACAGGCATGAAGAAGTTGGGGTGTGAAGAGAGGAGAATCCTGGGACACTTCAGCACTAGAAGCAGCACAGGGGGGAGTTAAGATGAGCAGTTTCAGCTCTGCAGAGCTGGGCAGATGGCCTCCAGGCTGCCTGATGTACAAAGAGAGGTGAAATAAATCCCAACCACCAAGTGAAGCTGTAAGAGAGCCCAGGAAACATCTGGGAGCTGTTCCAGCTCAAGAGCACTGAAGTCATTTGCTTTAGCCACTGATTTCAGTTGGCTGAGGAATGAAAGCAGGGTGCTGAGACTGCTGCTGCCTGAAGAGCGGATGGGGAAGTCCTAGTCACTTCCTCCTGCAGATGTGAGGCTGCTTGCTGGGTACCACACAGCCCACACGCATCCTGCTCTCCGTGCGTGCCAGCAGCAGGGATGGGAGACAGCGTTTTTCTTACTGGCTCTTAAAATAAGCCTGAGATGACTAAACTGCAGCAGTGCTACCTCAGGAATGAATAACTGCTTCGTTTGCTGAACATGGAGGACTTCTCTCTCCAGTCCTGTAATTACTACACTAAAAGGATGACCAAACTTAAACATAAACCACCCCCCAAATCCGACTCCTCCAAACTCTCAACCTCTCCTCCCACACTTGATACCCTGACCCTATCTCCAGATCACAGCAAACACCTTGGATCTCAGGATGCCCCACTACGACATGAGCAGGTCTTCCTCTGCCTCAATTAAAACACTGTGCAAGGAAGGAATAACACTGAGGTGCATTATACTTACATGAGTCAGGAGCATATGCCAAGGTGAACATAGCCCTGAAGCCTAAGGTATGGGAGCTGCCAAAACTGTTCATTAGCTGACAGGATGAGGAGAAGTAATTGATGCATGAACAAAAGCAGCAACTCCCGAGAGCAAACCCAGCCTTGAAATCGCTCAGTGAAGAGTTACAAAGTGCAGATGGTCTTCTGTAACCAAAGAGATAGCTTAAAGGCTGAAGATCAAAGGTTGTTTAGCTGAGGAGGCAGCTTGCACAGCTTTATAGATATAGAAGGCAAATTCACTCCTGCCATCTCTGTGCAAGATGTCTTTTCTGTCCAGTAGAACAGCGCTTTGGCTGGCCTGCAAGTGGAAATGGCTTGAGCAAGTCAGAAGATGCCCCTATTCAGATACCCCGTGCTGCTCACAGTGGCCAAACCCAAATAACAATCAGCCAAGTTACACAAAACCCTACAGCAATGGGTAAAGCAGAGGCAAAGTAACAGCCTAGCAGGTACTTCCATCAAAAAGTGTTATCCCCAAAGAACTGCACTTCAGGACCCCCCCCCCCCCAGGCTCCAGTTCAGAAAGGGCATCCCAAGGCAAAGAGAGCTTTGACAAACACCCACATTTAGTCCCGTGCTTTCATCACACATTTCACTGGGATTTAAATGTTGGCTTCATTTATGCACACTGAACTTTCCCAGTGCCCCACTGGATATGAGCCAGAGGAAATGGCTTGCAGCCTGCCCTGAAGAACCAGAGCATTTCACCTTTAACACCAATGATTACAGCAGTTTAAGCAGTTCCTAAAGGCAGTGATGCAGTAAGAAAATCCCTTTCCATCACCATTCCCTTTCAGGAAGGGCTCAGAATGATAAAGTGTTCACCCACACAACTGCCACAGGCAGAGTTTTGTCAGGTGCTGGCACAAGTCCCTCTCCAAGCTCCAGTCTGTGAGGATTTCTTCTTCCTTTACTATGTTCTTACCATGGAGCTTTGAGCAACCTGGTTTAGTGGAAGGTGTCCCTGCCTGTGGCAGAGGGTTGTAACTGGATGAGCTTTAAGGTCCCTTCCAACCCAAATCTTTCTATGTTCACATTTCAAGCATCTCAAAGGTTATTCAATTCCTACCTAG